CGATTTCAACCAACGAACGCTGTTTCGTTGGTCATCGGATGACTGATTTGTTGGTCATCGGATGACTGATTTGTTGATTTTCTTACCATGTATTCCTGCCTTTAGTCTAGCTGGAAATATGAGTTTCCTACACAGCAGTCTGTTTTGGAACTGTTTTTCCCCTAGGTTCACACCTAAGCGTTTTCTGCAGTGTTTTGCAGAAACGCACTACAGCCCATTTAATATGATTGCCTATGGGACACGTTCACATCTCCGCATTTTTACCTGGTGCGTTTTTTGGAAAGGGTAAGGGACTTTTTTGAATGCAAAAAATTGCATTTTTGGTTCTATAGACTTCAATAGAAATTCTGCAGAAAAGCATGTAGTACGTTTTTTTTTTTTTTTTAATGCTTTTTTGATGCATTTTAAATCTGCCTAGCAACAAGAAAAAAAAGAACCTGCAAAACACGGCACAAACACGCAAAATGCAATGCAGAAACAGATCAAACGCAAACTGCATAGGTGTGAACCTAGCCTTAGTAATCTGCTTTTTCAGTTTTTCAAGTTTCTAATGCAGTCTATGTAAGATGAAATGTTTTTCTATACTGGAAATGTTTTTTATATAAATACTTTTTAACAACTCTATGCGTCAAGTGATAGTCAAAGCTGTTGTCTCGTTGCTTGGAAGCATGTGGTTTAGACACAAGTAAAATCTCTTGTTTTAATTGGCCTTAATATGTTCATTTTTTGTTCAGATCTGACCAAGCAGTGCAGGTCTCCCATGGTGTTAAATGATGGCATAATTGGGTTAACTCTACACTATAGGAGCAGGGAAATTTAGTCTATTTTCTGCTCTGTTCTCCAGTCCTCTGTCCTAATCAAATCGACTGTTTGCATATTGTGGTAGCTGCACATCCCAGTGGAATGCAAAGTCTTAAGCAGAACTTGCTGCTATTTCTGTCTCCTCTCTGAAGGATAGAAATAGGACTATGAAAGCACTGCTGCTTATAAGGACTACCAGCTTATTTCATCTATTCTGTGCGGCTGAAATGATCTTCTTTAATTGTGTACCAAATATCGTCTGCAAAATTGTAATTTATTATAAGGTGTCCTTGAACTTCGATCAAAATACCTATAAACATATCCTGGAAAAAAATGAGAACTTGCCTAAATTCAGTTATAGCAGGCTTTTTTGCTTAAGTAAGGTACAATATGTCCTACACTGGGGTGCACAACCTGTGGGCCACAAGTGGTCCTTGGAACTCTCTGATGTGGCCCTCAACCTCAAATCAGAAAAACTGAATGCAGGTGTTATGGTGCGCTTTCAGAAAATGCACCACACTCGCAAGAAATATTAAGCGCAGCTAACCCACCGGGGCACTGCGCTGCACTCGCAGTGCGGGTAAATCTCAGTGCATCAATGTGAAACCAGCTTTATTCGGAGCTCAGGACAGAAAGGGCTCACTTACGTTTTTGGTTTGGGGGGGCAGGTAAAACCCCATAGTTGAGACATGTTTTTACCAAAACTCCCTGTGGCCTTCCTGTCGTGTTCTGTTTTACACTTGGACAGGAGAAACTGATCCCCTCTATTTTGCTCCTGCAACTGCTGAAAGACGGCTTTTCCTCCTCTCCCGACTGCTGGCATTCAGCGGCTTCAGGAGGAAAATGTTAATTATGCCATTCAAAATGAAAATGATAAACTATAAAGAAAAAGTTTTAAATTTTGATTCATTTTGTAACAGAACCGACCCAGACTGCGCTTGAGTACTTTCGTTAGACTACTGCTTCCCCGTCCGAACACTGACAACAGACACCACAGCCGACCATACAAGACTAGACAACACCAGTCTTGAAGTAAACCAGAGTAGACTAGTTTATTTGAACACAGATACAAGATATATACACTCAGGGGACAATCCCCCCTCCCTGCATAATGACACAGGGCGGGACAATCTACAGTTAGTAACAATAGACACACAGGTATTCCAACTTCACACCAGCAGACAGTCCCATCAGGAGGGAGGGCTGCTGGAGACACCCCCACCACCACCACTAAGCTAATACACATAAACACATACATCCCATAATAGTTTGCTCACAAGCCAGACAGACAATAGATCAATGGGATGCAGTCACATAACATTAAACAATCAACAACCCCTCACCCAACCTATCTCCTAAACATGTCTACACAGTCTGAGACAAAGCCCACACAATATTAGGACAGATCACCCTGTACCCCTTACAGGCACAGGGTGATTTACACATAAGAGGGATATGGGGAGCTGAGACAGGGGTCTCCCCACCTCTCCAAAGTGAGCCGGGTTCCACGGGCCCCCCACCCAAAGTGACTCCTGTCACACATTTCATTTCATTGTGGCCTGCTCCAGTTACCAAATCACTTAGTGTTACTAAACCTAGGACCCTGTATTCACTATATCTGGTCTCCCACAGTACACACAACGTGGAAATGCAATTATTTTAGTAAATATAAACTGCTAAATACGTTTTCTCATCAACAGTTGGAGCAGTCTTGTGGCTTCTTTAGTGTCCAGCAAAGCACTGGTTACAGCTTGTAGGAGGAATTTTCATTCTCTCCTGATTTTCATATGAGCCTGCAGGACCCCTGTCCCTCTGTCTGGACAGTGCTGATTGGCCCTGTGCTGATCACATGCATGCCCCCCCCCCCCCCCCCTCCCCAAAATAAAAGAAAAAAATCTTTAGCAATACTCACCAAACTGAGCATGTGCGGCTTCCTCCCAAGGCTTTGTACTATCAGCAGATGGATTGTGACTGTGGAAGAAGGGGAGGATCAGAAAAGATAAAATCAAACATTCTTTTTACACAAATGGAGGATTAACCCATTAGGTTCCACAGTGAGTATAACAAGCATTCTTTACTGCATATACAGACTGATTTTACTGTTGTGGGTCTGGTAACAGTTTAAGTAGTCCTCGCTCTTCATTAGGTTGAGCACCTCTGTCCTATGCCAATCTAGTGCATGGTTAAGCTGCAGACATTCTGTCCAATTGGTACAGCTGTTGCCCCTGCTGATCACCAGGCATGGATTTCTGCAAGGTAGAGCACGATGCTCCTTGGAGTGGCACACACCCATGTTAATGACTGAGACTAGACACCTGGAACCAAACTGCTAACAATAAGCGGACATTTTGCTCAAATCTTTTGTGGTGTTGATTTCTTCTCACCAATGAACAAGATTATATTAGGGTTATGGCCAACGGCTGAATTGCTGAACAAATGTGTAGACTTCCTGTGGAGCGCTGCAGTCAGATGTGAACCTTCTGTGGCCCAAAAATAGCCACTGTGATTGTCTTCTGGAAAGTGGCATTTACAAGGTAATTGTGAGGATAGAAATGTATGGGACCTGACATTGGCTCAAGGCTAAGCATACGTCACTGGCGTCTCAAGGCTTACTACATTACTGAGATTTGCTAGAAGTCCAGTCCAGTCCAGCCTCCAGCATGCCTCATTGGTCTCTTGCTGTACAATGAAAACACCAATTCTAGCATGCCTCACTGGCATCAGTCCTGTCATTGTAACTGCACTTCCTTTACTTGGCTTTCCACTTGTTATTGGCAGAATGCGACCATCAGTAAGGAGTGAAAGAGATGGCTCTTGTAGTTCTAAAGACATAGTCACCCACATAAATCACAGTATTAATCAAGGAATAATTGCTTAATTTTTAATAAACAATGGTTCTGCAATACCTTTCCTCTTTTTCCCCTACAGTTTGTATGTGTATATATGTATGTGCGCGCACGCACGCACACACACACCCCCACACACGTACACACACACACACCACACACCCGTACACACACACACACGTACACACTAGTATTGCAAAAAAAGTTTGTAAACCGAGGCATTATTTTCAATGGATTTTCATTCGTAAACCGAAACTTGCGTTAACCGAGGTGTGTATATGTAATAAAATCTAAAAAATATAATATATATATATATATATATATATATATATATATATATATATATATATATATTAATATTATAGGCTGGTAAAAATGTTGATGTAAGCACATGGGTACATCCTCATTCAGTTTAAGTCCTCATGCACACTGGACATTTTTACAGCTGCTGTTTTTGGCTTTTGATATTTTTTTTTTTTTTTTGCAGCCAGTAAACCCCCCCAGCATGTTATCCTTTGTGTCCATGCATACAGACTGTAATCAGCGTTTTTTGGCTGGGAAAAAAAAACCCAGGACTAGTGGGTTTCTAGAGGAGTTTTTTTAGCTGTAAAAATGCTCTAACACTGAAAAACGTAGTAAATTGCTGCAGACCAGCGTTTATGGACATTTTTTTGACCAAAAAAAAATTTTTTTTTTTTTTTTTAAACGCAAAACGCTGCTAAATGCTAATACAAAACCTGCTGAAAAACTCACGTTTTTAACATGACTTTACACCGCTAACGTTACCAGCATTATCAAAACACCCAGTGTGCATGGAGCCTTATAACTGCTGATGTCTGTCTTCACTTTTCTGTTGTGTGTAAATGACAACTGTGTTGTTGATTTTAAAAGTTTTAAAGTTTGCTCTGCCAAGTAGCTGTTCCAGGACCTTTTTATATGCATGCATAAATGTGCAAATGTTTAAGCTTGTAATATTTATCTCTGTCGGTATTCTAATGTTAAATTATTTCAAGTCACAAAATGTAATATTAGCTTTTAGGGTTGTATGGTTTTGTTTAAAGTTTTTATAGCCTTGCATACCTGTTAATAAATAGTGGTTTTGCCTTCACCCTTGCATATCATTGATTTTGAGCCTTTTGGAATATTTTGTTTACTTTTTTAGCCTTTTTTTCCCCTTGAGTCTGTAAAACATATTTTTCTTTTTATGGCCAGCATTAGATGCAGAGTCATCATTCCTGGTATTCATGTACAGTAATCAGTAATATCACTTTGCCTCTAGTCACCTGATCATGTGTTGCTAACAAAGCAATTATCTTTTCTGAGGTGTAGCAATCACTTTTTTTTTTCTCTTTGCAGATGAAAATAATGTGGAAGACATCCAGCTTGGTTCTGACTCTGACGCTGAGATGATGGACAAGCCATGCCCCATCCAGATAGTCCTGGCTCACGAGGATGACCATAACTTTGAGCTCGATGAAAAGGCCCTGGAGCGCGTTTTGATGCAGGAACACATACGTGATTTGAACGTGGTGGTTGTGTCTGTAGCTGGTGCTTTTCGCAAAGGGAAATCGTTTTTGCTTGATTTTATGCTTCGATTCATGTATAGTCAGGTAAACATTTTGTCTTTCTTTTAGGGCCCCTTCACACTTTTTTGCATGTGTTTTCATGCACTTTTTGACATGCTGCTTTAAGCATGCCCATTTAGTGTAGCAAAAAAATATACTGGCTTGATTTTTTTTTTTTCCTAGCACACCACAGGCAATAAAGAGCACATGCCTCTTGGTGCACTAAGAGTCCGGTGTGTGTTTTGTTTTGACCACGTGTGTATGTTGGGTTGCCTTTTGAAAATGAATGGCAGATCCTTTTGTTAGATTTGTGTGTAAATTTATGGATTGTTTCCCACATTACTTTTAGCTTACACTTTTTCACTACAATGTCTCCCTTATGTGGCCTGTTTTCAACTCTGAGATGCTATGGAAGCCAGCCATACTGTATTGCTGTAACTGCTAATTGGATACAGTATAGTTACTAATTCCTGCAGTCAGTTGGTGCAAAATGGGCAGCCAAACTGTTCCAGACAATAATCAACCATCTTCACATAGGACTTCAGGAGTGGTTATTTATTTCAGGTACTTATATAGCGCTGTCAATTTACATAGCACTTTACATATATAATGTACATTCATATCAGTCCCTAACCCTCAAGGGGCGTACAATCTAAGGTCCCTAACTTACATTCATACATACACATACTAGGGACAATTTAGAAAGGAGCTAATTCACCTACCAGCATGTCTTTGGAGTGTGGAAGAAAACCGGAGCACCCGGAGGAAACCCACACAGACACAGGGAGAACATGCAAACTCCAGGCAGGAGGGGCTGTGGTTGGGTTTTGAACCAATGACCCTAGTACTGCCAGGTGGAAGTTAGAGCTGCATCCTATCTTACATTGCGCTCAGACAATAATCCACGTTTAACTCAATGTGCATGTAATTCCCCTTTGTACAGCCCTTAGAATATCAGCTTCTTATTAACTCTGTCCTACTCTACTTGATCCTTGCTGTTAGATATATATATATATATATATATATATATATATATATATATATATATATATATATATATATCTATCTATCATGACCATATGCTTTTGTGTGGATTTCCAAGGCGAAGAAGAAACTCACAGACCACAGTTTGCTTTGTTTTTTATAAATGTAAAATACAGACATGGTGTGGAGTTATCAAAGCAGTGCCCTGAGCAGTGCACTGAGAGACAGAATAGCAACAAAAAATTCAAAAGAAATGCATGTCTAACAAATTATGCACTGATTTGCATGTTCATGAGGGAGTTATCAAAGCAGTGCCCTGAGAATTGCAGATTATGGACTGAATTTTAAATAGGCACCTTACCAGCTTTTGGGGGGGCTGCATTATTTTTCTTTTTTGGTTAAACCGGTAATGAACTCCTTGAAGAAGAAAAAAAAAAAAAAAAAAAGAAATCTCTCCTGTTTAAGTCATAATGTACTCCTATGCACTGCTCCGCATACTAGCACATTATAACAGACTTGCCTGTCCTAATGTTCCCTGTTCTCCAGTCACAGATCACGTGTCCCGGGCGCTTGCATCTTTGCCCAGTCTTCCTTTCTGTTCTGTCTCTCTGGCCGCTTGAATGACTGGGTTACGATGACATCACTCCCACGCAGGCACACAGGAGTCCCATCATCTCAGCATAGATCGGGTGCTGTTAATACACTGTGAGCTGCACATGTGCTGCTTTGTGTATATTAAAACTGACAGGCAGACCGATTGTATCTCTTCTGTCATAAAAGCCCTACCTGTCAGCAATTTTAAAATAATGGGTTTATTGCCACCTTAAGTACATTTTTGCAAGTGCAGAAAAAGACTTGCTGATCCTGCCAGAAATCCAGTGTCATGGTAACCTCTTTGCACTGAATTGAAACCTTGAGCGGTTATGACAATGCTGCTTTTCCATAGATCTAGTAAAGGTGCGTTGTCACCTTAGGGCAGGAATTTGTCACCAATTGAAAAGGGTGGGGGCGTGGAGCATGGGAACCCTGAAAAATAAAGGAAAATAATTTGGCCACCACATATGACGACAGGTAAGGTGGAATATGATACATTTTTGTCCATGGTGGTAAGGTGGAATATGGTTTATTTTTGTCCTTGGGTTAAGATGACCTGCTCACCTAGTAGAGCAACAAATCTTTTTTTTCAGGTACTTGTATAGTGCCATCAATTTTACACAGAACATAACATACTTATTATACATTCACAGCAGTCCCTGTCCTCAAGGAGCTCACACACCTTCTGTTTGTAGCAGTCCCCCAGCCCCCCCCCCCCCCCCCCCTTACACCTGAGCCCCCACTTTATCCTGCGATTTCCAGGAGAGCCTTGGTTCCCTGGGGACTCTCACTTCTGATTGGCTGAGACAGCAGCGAGAGCCATCGGCTCCAGTTGCTATCAATCACAGCCAGTGATCCAATCAGGAGACGGAGGGGGCAGGGTTGTGAATGGACACACAGAGCTGCGGCTCAGGAGCACACCTGCTCGGGTGCCCCCATAGCAAGCTGCTTGCTGTGGGGCACCTGACTGGAGGGAGCGGCCAGGAGCGCCAGCGGGGGACCCCAGAAGAGAAGAATCCGGACTGCTCTGTGCAACACCATTGTATTGTAAATAAGTATTTGATCCCCTGCTAATTTTGAATGTTTGCCCAATCACAAAGAAATGACCAGTCTAAAAATCGAATGGTAGGTGTATTGTAACACTGAGAGACAGAATAGCAACAAAAAATTCAAAAGAAATGCATGTCTAACAAATTATGCACTGATTTGCATGTTCATGAGGGAAATAAGTAGTTGATCCCATATCATTCAGCAGGATTTCTGGCTACCAGGTGTCTTTCATACAGGTAACAAGCTGAGATTAGAAGCAGTCTCCTAAAGGGAGTGCTGCTAATCTCATTTTGTTACCTGTATAAAAGTCACCTGTCAACAGGAGCAATCAAACAATCAGAATCCAAACTCTTCACAATGGCAAAGAGCTGTCCAAGGATCTCAGGGACAAGATTGTAGACCTACACAAGGCTGGACTGGGCTACCAAACTATTGCCAAGCAGCTTGGTGAGAAGGTGACAACAGTTGGTGCAATCATTCGCAAATGGAAGAAATACAAAACAAACTGTCAGTCACCCTAGGTCTGGTGCACCATGCAGGATCTCACCTCGTGGAGTGTCAATGATCATGGGAGCAGTGAGGAATCATCCCAGAACTACATGTGAGGATCTTGTCAATGATCTCCAGGCAGCTGGGACCACAGTCACCAAGAAAACAATTGGTAACACACTACGCCGACAATGATTGAAATCCTGCAGTGCCTGCAAGGTCCCTCTGCTCAAAAAAGCACATGTCCAGGCCCATCTGACGTTTTTCCACTGAACATCTGAATGATGCAGAGGAGGACTGGTTGAAAATGTTGTAGTCAAATTAGACTAAAATCAATCTCTTTGGCATCAACTCAACTCGCCATGTTTGGAGGAGGAGAAATGCTGCCTATGACCCCAAGAACACCATCCCAACTGTCAAACATGATGGTGGAAACTTTCTGCTTTGGGGGTGTTTTTCTGCTAAGGGAGAGGATAACTGCACCGCATCAAAGGGATGATGGACGGGGCAATGTACTGTCAAATCTTGGGTGAGAACCTTCTACCCTCAGCCAGGGCATTGAAAATGGGTCGTAGATGGGTGTTCCAGCATGACAATGACCCAAAACACACGGCCAAGGCAACAAAGGAGTGGCTCAAGAAGAAGCACAGTAAGGTCCTGGAGTGGCCTAGCCAGTCTCCAGACCTTAATCCGATTTGAAAATCTGTGGAGGGAGCTGAAAGTTCGAGTTGCCAAACGTCAGCCACCAAACCTTAATGACTTGGAGAGGATCTGCCAAGAGGAGTGGGCCAAAATCCCTCCTGAGATGTGTGCAAACCTGGTGGCCAACTACAGGAAACATCTGACCTCTGTGTTTGCCAACAAGGGATTTGCCACCAAGTACGAAGTCATGTTTTGTGAAAGGGATCAAATACTTATTTCCCTCATGAACATGCAAATCAGTACATAATTTGTTAGACATGCATTTCTTTTGAATTTTTTGTTGCTATTCTGTCTCTCAGTGTTACAATACACACCTACCATTCGATTTTTAGACTGATCATTTCTTTGTGAGTGGGCAAACATTCAAAATCAGCAGGGATCAAATACTTATTTCCTTCACTGTAGCATATACAGTTGTGACCAAAATTATTCAACCCCCAATGCTGTAAAGGGGTTTAGGGACTATAGTGTACATTTGGAATTGTATTCAGAATCAAATCCTACAAGGACGTTGTAACTACCCAAATGCAACTAAAATGACATCAATTGTTTATGTAATACAGTAGTAAATGGTTCTTATGTGGTTTCTTCATTGCCACAATTATTCAACCCCTTAAGACTACCACTCTGAAGAACAGAGGTTCATACAGGTGCTTTCCATCAGGTATTGAAAACACCTGTGGATGTCACCGAGCAGCAATCAAGCATAATAAGCACCAATTAGGCAGCTTTAAAATGACTGTGATACTCAGCTCCTTCTAGACATTTACTGGTGTGGTTACAAACATGGTGAAGGCAAGAGAATGGTCCAGGAAGACAAGAGAGAAGAGGTGATTTCTCTTCACAGGAAGGGCAATGGCTATAAGAAGATTGCAAAGATGTTAAACATACCAAGAGACACCTTAGGAAGCATCATTCGCAAATTCAAGGCAAAGGGCACTGTTGAAACGCTACCTGGTCGTGGCAGAAAGAAGATGCTGACTTCGACTGCTGTGCGCTACCTGAAGCGTAGAGTGGAGAGAAGTCCCCGTGTGTGACTGCTGAGGAACTGAGAAAAGATTTGTCAGATGTGGGTACAGAAGTTTCAGCCCAGACAATAAGACGCACACTGCGTAATGAAGGCCTCCGTGCCAGAACTCCCAGGCGTACCCCCTTGCTGTCTCCAAAGAATAAGAAGAGTCGACTGCAGTATGCCAAAAGCCATGTGGACAAACCACAAAAGTTGTGGGATAGTGTTCTGTGGACTGATGAAACAAAATTAGAACTGTTTGGGCCCATGGATCAACGCTATGTTTGGAGGAGGAAGAACAAGGCCTATGATGAAAAGAACACCTTGCCTACTGTGAAGCATGGTGGAGGGTCAATCATGCTTTGGGGCTGTTTTGCTTCTGCAGGTACAGGGAAGCTTCAGCGTGTGCAAGGTACCATGAATTCTCTTCAGTACCAGGAGATATTGGATGGAAACGTGATGCAGTCCGTCACACACCTGAGGCTTGGGAGACGTTGGACCTTTCAACAGGACAATGATCCCAAGCATACCTCCAAGTCCACTAGAGCATGGTTGCAGAGGAAAGGCTGGAACATTTTGGAGTGGCCATCGCAGTCACCAGACTTAAATCCGATTGAGAACCTCTGGTGGGACTTAAAGAAAGCAGTTGCAGTGCGCAAGCCTAAGAATGTGACTGAACTGGAGGCCTTTGCCCATGAAGAATGGGCGAAGATACCCGTAGATCGCTGCAAGACACTTGTGTCAAGCTATGCTTCACGTTTAAAAGCTGTTATAACTGTAAAAGGATGCTGTACTAAGTACTAAGATTGAATGTCACTTGGGGGTTGAATAAAACTGATAATGCTGTGAGCACAGAAAAGACATTTGTGGTTATTTCATTATAACTGTTATGTTATATTTGTCTGACCTACAAGTGCCTCTTTAATGTAAATGTAAGCAAGATGACTGAATGATCAAAAGCAATGTCAAACTGGCCAAAACACTCAATTTCAGTGGGGGTTGAATAATTTTGGTCACAACTGTATATTGGAAGTAAAAAGGAAAGGGATTCTGAGAGGAGACATTAGATGCTCCCATGTGATTGGAGGATTCGGTCAGGTGCATGGAGTGACTGGATTCAGAACATTTCATGTGGTTGAATACTGTAGAGGTTTTTAAAGGGTCAGGCACGTTGTATGAAAGACACCTGGTAGCCAGAAATCCTGCTGAATGATAGGGGATTAAATACACCTACCATTCGATTTTTAGACTGATCATTTCTTTGTGAGTGGGCAACCATTCAAAATCAGCAGGGAATCAAATACTTATTTCCTTCACTGTATATGTGAATTTCCAATGAACTAATAAAACGCTTGTAGATTCAGTACAGAGCTAAATGTACAGTAATTTAAACTAAAAGTGCACATTTCCTCCCTCACATAATTTTAATCATACATACTGACTATACATGCACTATAGAAAATACAAAAACATGTCCTAGTGTTAAACCACACACGTTTTCCTTGCAAGAATGCTTTCCTAAAAATGACAAAACTTGCTACCCTAAGGCTACGTTCACAGTAGCCTTGTTTGCAAGCGGCAGACAGGCGATTGGGAAGCATTTTTACCGCTTCCCAAACGCCTGGGAAAATTCTGCACATTGCAGCATGGTGCTGTGCACACAGGAGCGTTAGCGTCGCGTTGCGGCAAAACGGACGCCTCTGGTCGAGTCAGGAGGAGTTGAAGCCTCCTATTCAAGTCTACGGTGCCGCTCTGCAAACGCCCGGCCGGCGTTTGTGGAGCAGTAACACCATTCAAACTTCAATATAGGCGTTTGTAGGGCTTTTTAACGCTTTGCAACCGCTGCTAAACCGCGCATGCAGCGGTTGCAGAGCATTAAAAAATGCTCCGCAAACGCCGGACCAACGCTTTTCAAATGCTATAGGGGCGTTTGACAAGAGTTGGAAAAACAGTGAAGTGTGAACGAGCCCTTAGAGAACCATCCTTGCATCTGCAAATATTAGCACCTCTGTGTTTAAAAAAAAAAAAAAAAAAAAAGTCACAGGTGCAGCCATTTAAAGGGACTTGATGGACTTTAAGGGCTCGTTCACACCATACATACATGAAAACTGATTTCACTTGCAGGGACATCAGTTTACATCAATTTTCATGCACGTTTCAATGAGTTTTACACATGTTGCAGATTCCTGCGCAGAAAAAAATCTCCACGTGATACTAGTGTTTACCTTCTAAAAATTCTGTGTGTGTGTGAGAGAGAAGACATGTAGATGATGATGTGTTTAAAGTCTTTTCAATGTTTACATTGTGGAACATTATTCTGAAATTTGTACAAAAATTTTTAGATGCAGCTTTTCACAGATAGGTGAACCTCTGTCCATCTCTACTTCTGAGACACTGACTCTCTAAGATGCTCTTTTTATACCTAATCATGTTACTGGCCCAATGCCAATTAACCTAATTAGTTGCAAAATGTTCATCCAGCTCTTCCTGGTTAGTGCCACTTACTTTGCCAAGCTGACTGTACACCAGTTTCAGTAAATCTCCCCCACAGCGTCCCAACTTGTTTTGGAGTTGGGGTTGTATTACACTTTAGACTAGTGACCATAAAATGTAAAGACAAATGATTTTTTTTTTTCCAGAGCGCATCAAGTTGGATTGGTGGAAATTATGAGCCATTGACTGGGTTCACGTGGAGGGGAGGATGTGAGCGAGAGACCACGGGTATACAGGTCTGGAGTGAAGTGTTTATTATTGAAAAACCTGATGGATCCAAGGTATGTGCTGTGTATATCTTCTCATTTTTGAGTCTTTCAATAATACAATAATATCTGTTCAGACAATTGTGCTAGTTTCCGGAGTTGTCATAAATTTATGTATTTCTGGACCAAACCTGTGTCTCTAACCTGCACTGAAATGCACATATCATGCTATGTATGCCACCCACTCTGACTTCTGCAATACTCTTGAAGCCAGGGCTACTGGCAAAGTTGCTGTACTGAAGTCCCATTATTCCTGTAGCAAACCAAGGTTGGGGAATTCTATATCTAAGTCATATGAACAACTGTAGCTTGCATAATTTGTAGGTATTGTTCTGCTTCAAATTCCACTTTATGCATTGACATAACTTTGTTGACCCAGTCAGTATGGTCGCCTGTTGTCTTGGCAGCATCTACAGGCAGCATAACTATTCAGTGAGGCACAGAAGTTGAATCCAATGCAAATGTAATTTACCTAATTGCAGTACATATGATGTATATTCTGCAATATTTACATTTTTGGTAAACTCATTAAATGAATCCAAGCACTATAAGCTGAGATAGCATGCACTGCATTGATGCATTCACACAATTTCACAGTAACCATGAGAAAAAAACATGAAATAAAAGAATTTGAATAGTTATGTGTAGCTATGCGTGATTAACCTGTTAACCTAAAATGGTTCTGATATCACTGTTTTACTAACCTGCCAGCTTATTATTCTAAAAAAAGGAAACCTTCAATTGGTTTGCAAATATTAAAGATTCTAACTACCAGCAAGAATGAGTCAGATTCCTTACATTTAAAGAGTACCTGTCATTTTAGATCCATCATGGCAGCGCCTGTTAGTGGGCATCCACTCACCTGCTGCCGCTACGTCCCTCACCTTGTGTCAATGCCGCATCACCAGCCGTCCCATTAACCACTTGCCTTCCTGAGGATTTACTCCCCTTCCTGACCAGGCCTTTTTTTGCGTTATGGTGCTGCATTACTTTAACTGACGCTGCACCCAAATGAAATGTACGTCCTTTTTTTTTACCCACGAATGGAGCTTTCTTTCTGTGGTATTTGATCGCCTGTGCTTTTGTTTTTTTTTTTTTTGCGCAAAAAAAAAAAAAAAAGCAACAATTTTGAGAACAAAACTATATTTTTGACTTTTTTTGCTATTAAACATGTCCAGTAAAAACATTTTAAAAATCTAATTTCGTCATAAATTTAGGCCAAAATGTATTCTGCGACATGTCTTTGCTAAAAAAAAAAAAAAAAAGTTAGTGTTTACAAATGGTATATACATACTGGGATTTTTTTTTTTTTACATTTTTATTAGTAATGGCGCCGATCAGCGACTTATAGCGGGACATTCTTACACTTGGGGAAACTGACTTGGTGTCACTGACATCCCCAGTGATACCAGTACAGTGATCAATGCTAAAAAAAAAAAAAAGCACTGACACTGTACTAATGGCACTGGGCAGGAAGGGGTTAACATAAGGGACGATCAAAGAGTTAACTGTGTGCAGGGAGTGTTTTACTGGGGGGCGGTGTGTGTTTCACTGTAATCACTGCTCTGGATGGCTGTGTGTACACAGCCATCCAGAGCAGTGTGCCTGAGCTGACAAGGAGGAAGACTGTTAGTAAATAAAACTGTCCTCCTCCCCGTTGGTGATCATGGAAATCACTGGTGCAGGCGAGTAATTACTGGACGGGACCCGCATATGTACGTGATTTTGCGCACCCCTGAAGCCCTGTAGCAGTATTTCTGCTATAGGGCAGTGGGGATGCGGTTAAAGTGAGTGGGACTGTGGGTGAGTCAGCAGCGGGTCAGAGGAGGAGTCGCTGCGGGACAGAGATGACAGTTCCTCTTTAGAAATTATAATTTAAATCGAGCCTTTTCACTAGTGATTTAAACCTTGATTTAAATGAACTTGATTTAATAAAATTCTCCCTGATTAAAATACTGGCCAGTGGAATGAATGAACCCCCAAATGCTAAACGTGTTTGCATAACGTGGCTTTAGGCACTTTTTAGTGCTGCTTTTTCCTTCCCTGGATTAAAGGCGTCTAGGGGAGAAAAAAATTCTGTGTGCACAAAGAGTAAGGGTTTGCAGGCTCTTTGAAACAAAACAAGCTGATTCATTTTACTTCATTTAAGACTATCTTGAGCAGTAATTTACCAGCTTAATTTATGTGCGGTTTCCTTTTACAAATAGGTAATAAGAGCTCCACTTGACAGATTTCAGGGTCACATTAAGTGCACATGGCTTAAATATTTGAGAAGCTTTCCTGCTGAATGTTTCCAATAGCAGAGACTGCCACACTGTGGCCAGCAAAAAGGAGATGTAATATAAGGCATGGGGATACTTATGATTCTTGATGGGCCACCTGATTATTTATGTATTGCTGACAAATCCTGTATTGTTTACTAAGAACACCCGACATAAGAGAAAACGAGAGGCTGCCTTTGCTGACCTATTGAAAATTCCAGTTGCCTGGCTTTGACAGCAATAGTTCGAGTTGCTAACCCTGGAAAAAGTATGCAGATAATGATTTATGACTTCATTCATCTTGTTTGGATGCATACCTCTTCCAAGTCTGTGACACTGGAAATATTGAAGCAGTCTGGCATCTAGCATTTTCAGGAGGAGGTCAGCAGTGGCATGTTTCTTTCTATAGAGGTTAGCCTGGCCCACTTTTTAGATCATAGGAAAGTAATGTAATCTTTTCAGAAGGCTGTCTGGTCACACCGATTAATTTTACTTTGTGTTCCTGATGGGAATCGATCCCATGACCCCAACAGTGCTTTCAACTAAAAATACACATATTTCTTTCTGAGAAATATTTTTACTAAAGTGTTCACATTGTGTATATTGTTTGTTGTATAGCTACTTTCATAAATAACAAACATACTTTCCAAGCGACTTATTACCACGTCTGCCTTTACATGTGAAGTGGTGCAACATACCTAATTTATATCCGTTTTGTTATGTAGCTTTTTTATTTAAGCTTGAGTTTTACAAATGAGGCTGCACTTTGTTAGAAGCAACAGTGTTTGTTGGTCTGGCTTTGTAAAAAAAACCCAAAGAAAAACAAAAATAAATATATATATATACACATATATATACATATAGGTTTATATGTTTACACACAGGTTTGCCTCGGTTAATGTAATTTTCGGTTTATGAATGAAAATCCATTGAAAATAATGCCTCGTTTACAAATTTTTTTTCGCAATGTCGGTGCCGATTTTTCAATGCAATTGCCGGCTTTTTTTTTTTTTTTTTTTCACTATAGCTCACAGAATTAGCTGTCACTTACCCCAGAGTTAACGGACACTTTGTTTCTTTTTAGAAACTAAAAGGAAACATTGTGTCTTTTAACTCAGGGAAATAAAAAGAGGTCATTACATTTAAAAACCGGCACCATATAAAATAAAAAAAAATGGTGTGGGGTCCCCCCTCCCATCCATACCAAGCCCTGCAGGTCTGGTATGAATTTTGAGGGGAACTCCTACGGCGTGGGGTGTGACGGAATGTAGACCCCGGCCCTTCTCACCAACTCGTGACCAAAGGACCAGCCGATTTTTGCACTGTGCTGTCACTTGTGTAACAATGCCACTCTCAGCTGTGCCCTGCACAAAGATTTTTCAGCTCGCGGGACTACAGTGCCAATACCATGAGAGTGATTGTTACTGGGTCAGGTTAACTACGCAATTAACCCTTCACACTGCCACCACCACCTTTTTGTGTAAGGGGCGGGGCCACCGGGGCATCGCATGTGACCCCACCCTATGTGACATCAATGATGTACACTTTTGTTTTTGTGAATGTGTAAGGGTACCATGTACCCCCATAATCATTACCATAAGGGGGGCAGGATCTGGGGGTCCTTTTGTTAAAGGGGGTTTCCAGATTCCGATAAGCCCCCTGCCTGCAGACCCCCACAATCACCAGCCAGGGTTGTGGGGAAGAGGCCCTTGTCCTCATCAACATGGGGTAACAAGGTGCTTTGGGGGGGGGGAGCCCCTCCTCCCCAAAGCACTCCCCCCCCATGTTGAGGGCATGTGGCCTCACTTGTCATCTCCCCCCCGCCCCCCCCCCCCCCCCCCCACTTTCCTGACCTGCTGGGCTGCATGCTCGGATAAAGGGTCTGGTATGGATTTCGGGGGGGGGGGACCCCAACCCCCTTTTTTTTTTTTTTTATTTTTGCATGGGAGTTCCCATGAAAATCCATACCAGACCCGAAGGTCTTGGTATGGATGGGAGGGGGGACCGCACACCGGTTTTTACATTTATTTTTTTAATTGCCGGCAATTCTTTTTTAGCTGTCAGTGGGGAACCCATGAAACATTAAACAGTGGTTGTCAATACTAAAATACTGCATAACTTGATAAAATAACATGCAGTTTTAGCAGTAGTGTTTACTTTTTTTTCTGACCTACGGAACGGATTAATTGGTTTTCAGTGCATTCCTATGGGAAGTGGCATTTCGGTTTACAGATTTTTTGCTATACGAAAAGCCCTGGAGAACGTATTAAATTCGTAAACCGAGGTATGCCGTGTGTGTATTTTAATCATTAGGTGAAGGACACTGGACTTGCATTCTTAGACCATGGTATGCTGCTGCCTTCATGTTATTGGACACAGGCAAAAACGTTTGCTAGGGTCACCCCTAGAACTTGTCTGTATAACTGCGTGCACTTTGTGGGGCTCCAGTTGCAGGTGTGCTTAGGTGATGGACCTGTTCTCCTCTGTGGTAGTATAATAATAGGATTTTTAAAAATATATCTTTTTTTATCATTTTGAATCTCACTGCTTTTTGCTTTGTCTGTACCTAGCAGTTTCCGGATTGGTCGTGTGTACCCTGGGGACTGAACCTGGACCCCACTCTGAGACTGGCCTGTGATGTTTGCTTTGGGCATTGCATCCTGCATTTGGCACTAATCTTGGTACAAAGTGCAACATGTCAATTCGCTGCACATGTTACACTTGGTTCCCAGACCCTGCATACTCCTTTGAGGG